CTCTCTCTGTGTGTGTGTGTGTGTGTGTGTGTGTGTGTGTGTGTGTGTGTGTGTGTGTGTGTATACACATGCCACAGTGCACATGTACATATCAGAGGACAACTTGTGGAAGTCATCAGGTTTGGTTGCAAGTGCCCTTTGCCACTCAGAATTTTCATCAGCCCTGGATCATTTTTTGTCTTGCTGACAGTGAAGAGCCATGAAAAAGTTTTGAAAAAAATGAATGGCTTTAAGTTTCAGAAAACATTTTAGGAAGATTAGTCAGCATCTATGGATTCTGGCAGTCACGGAAGCCCAAGGGTGAGGGCAATGGGAAGGTAAAAGATACAATTTTAGGGTAAAATAATTTTCTCAGAAAGTGAACCAAATGAAATCATGACTCTCAAATAGAAGCAAACCACATTAATTTGCTAAAACCCATACTATAATTAAGCATTAACTTTCTTTTGCTTCATGGTTCAGTTTTTAAAAATTAAATAGCTGCTGAACCTACTCAAATTGAAACCAACTATACTCTGGAAAATTGACTCTTTTTTTTCTTTTGTGAGGTTCCAAAAATGGAACCAGAGGACTTGTACATGTGAGGCAAATGATCCACATCAAGTCCCAAATTCTTATATACTCTTAAATGAACTGCTCCCCCACTCCATACTGACGCCTGTGCCCTGAAAGCATTAGTGTCTTCAAACATGTGGTTTTAAGGTCTGAATTATGTTTCAAGACAGTGGATGTCATAAGGAAAAACTGAAAAACTTCTTTCTACTTGTTATGTGTGCTTTATACACAGCCTTTTAAATTTGTGTGTGTGGGGGGGTGTATCACACATGTGTGGAGGACAGAGGACAACTTTCAGAGGTCAGTCCTTGCCTTCCATCTTAATAAGGCGGGGTCTCCTCTCTTGCTCCTGTCTCTGCTAACTGGCCCACAAGCTTTCAGCCAATTCTGGTTTCACTTTCCATCTTGCCATAGGAGTGCTGGAGTTACACATCTGGCTTTTCAAATGTGGGTTCTGAGGCTATAACTCAGGTCATCAGTCAGCCTTTTATACACCAAGCCATCTACCAAGCCCTGTCATGCACTTTCTTATTGAATCTCCCAGGCTCAGAGAAGTTAAAAATATTTTTGTTAGGCAGCGAGTAAGTTACATCCAGGATTCTAATGCAGCCCTACTCCAGAATTTGCTAGGGTATACTGCCTTCCTATCAGGACTATTCACTTACTGTCAGTAGCCTAGGAGGTAGGTGAAGATAATTGGAAGGATGGGAGAAAATGACCTGGAAGCCACTAACATGCTCCTACAATCCCACACTCACCATTAGACACACACCTGCCCCTTTCAAAGGGATTGAACCTGTACAGTTACATCTTTTGAGGGCAATGAGTAATGAATGTGTCCACTCTCCTGCCCCACCACCAGTGCCAGCTCATAGGAGACACTCAAGGTATGCTTATGAATGGGCTCTTCAGATATGTTCCCAAAAATATTGAAATTCAGATAATTTAAAATACCCTTAAAATTCTACTATGAGAGGCCAGAGACACAGCTCAGCAGTTAACTGGTGTTCCGGGTGGTTGTGAGCTGCCGGATATGGATGCTTTGGAGACCAAGGTTGGTCTTCTGCCCGTGACTCCAGTTTCTGGTGATCCAATGCCCTCTGGTGCTTCTGTAAGCTCACACTCACATTTATAACCATGCACGAAGAGTGCTTGACACACCCAGACAGTTACATGTAAATGCACACATTGGCGATTATGATGTAGTCTGCCCTGCAACCACACTGATTTCAATTCCTCAGAGAAATTGTTTTTGAAGAATCCTAAGTTAAATTTATTTGTAAACTTAAGAGAGTCATTCTTGCATGAATAATCCCTCTCTGTTTCATTTTGGAGATTAACCCTTAATTTTGTTTTGTTTGTTTTTCGTTCTTGGTATTCCAATAATAGGGAAGCCTTGTGTAATAGCCTTCAGATTCTAGGGCATCTCATTGTATGTTTAGTTTTAAGCACCATGCTTCATGTTAGCTGCTTTGCAATATACACAAGCACAGGATTTCTATTTAATTAATTTATTGGGTATTTATGCAGCACCACATGCATGTCAAGCATGGCAGTTGCATGAGGGTTTTTCCCCCTGAGATATGAACAAATGTCTATTCACCCTAGAAAGAGCAGAGATAGACCAAAGAAATTACTCTTCCCAGGTTTAATTTAGTAAGCCAGTGAGTTTACCTTGGAGGGAGACAATTGGTTCTAGCTCTCTATCCCCTACTGATACAAAAATCTGTAGATGTTAAGTTCTTCGCATAAAAAGGATGCTATAACCTATATAACCCCCACACAGCTTTTTATGTTTTAAATTACCTTTAGATTAGTTGTAATTCCTAATCCAATGTAAGATGTCAGGTTATGAAGTATCATACTATATTATTTATGTAATAACAACAGGAAATTACACACACACACACACACGCACACACACGTGTGTGTGTGTGTGTGTGTACGTGTGTGCGTGTGTGTGTGTGTGTGTGTGTGTGTTCAGTACAGACCCACGTTTTAAATTTTTAATCCATGGCTGATTGAATTTGTAGATGCAGAACTTGTGGGGATTATGTCATCCACATATGTATCTATGGACGGAGAGTACAAATCAGTCTGTCTCAAGTAATGTGACTCAGAGTAACTAGACTGAGTGTGGGCATCTGTAGACAACATAGCCGGGGAAGACCTCTCCAAGGACATGAGTTTTGTGCTACATCTCTATTTTAGCAGTGTATTAGCATATTGGACTTTTGGGGGTTGGTTTTGAAATCGGAGACACTGAAGTCTTTGAAGCTTCAATCAGAGTTCAGCTTTACCACTTAGGACTTGACCAAGTCCCTTACCCTCTCTGTGCTTCATTCACTTCTTTCCACTTGAAAAGAGGAAGAGTAACAACATCCACATCAGTGGTCCTCAACCTTCCTAATGCCACAACCCTCTAATACAGTTCCTCTGCTTGTAGTGATCCCCAACCATAACATTAGTTTAGTTGGTACTTCATAACTGCAATTTTGCTACTGTTATCAATCATAATGTAATTATCTTTGTTTTCTGATGGTCTTAGGTGTTGTAAGGGATTGTGGTGCTGATAGGCATTGTTGTGACAATAGAAATACTTTATAATATGCTCTGTCCAGTCCAGTAACCACCATCTTCATATGGCTATGAAGTGCTTGAAACATGAGAAGACTAAATTTACTTAATGGATAGCCACATATGGCTGGAAGCTTCCATATTGGACAGCCCAGATTTACTGAATTGACATATGTGAAATGCTTAGCACAGTGCCCGGTAGATAATGTGTCAATAAATGTAATTTGGGATCAGTGTTAGTGATGGTTACAAGAGTCTCTCTAACAGGCAACGTTATTTTAGATAAACAGCAATCACACGTCGATTTATTGTTGTGTTACACACTCCAAGCAAACTGCAACAATACCTTCTATCTACAACAGCTTCCCACCTTCCTAGGCATCTCCCCCGCCCCCAAGATACATAGTAGTCAGATCCTGGAGGTGGTGGCAAGGGAGGAGGTTCTGCCCCTAGGAGACTGACTGTTGTGTGCTTCTCCCCATGCAGTAGGGTGGAAATCACTGGCGGGTACTATGAATACATTGATGTCAGTAGCTGCCAGGACATCATCCACCTGTACCACCTACTCTGGTCTGCCACCATCCTCAACATCGTTGGCCTGTTCCTGGGTATCATCACTGCTGCGGTCCTCGGAGGATTTAAGGATATGGTAAGAGAGAAAGTGACTTTCCATTTCACAGTGCCTTTTGTTTGGACATGGGGAACAAGGCTAGGATGTTTGGGGCAGTGGAGATACATAATTTCAAGGGAGGAATCAGAATGTAGGGTATGCAGCTGCCTTCAAATATCTCAGGTTGGAGTGAGAAGTACCATCAATCTGCATGTGTCTCTTGTAAACATAGGCTTCCTGTTATCTTGAGGCATATTTTGGGAGAGAAATGAGTGGGAGGGGGTTCTCAGAATTCTCATTCACTCTGTTTTTGCAAACTATCTATTATAGCTCCGCCCACACTTTCAGAAGAAACTTTCCCATTTCGTTTTCTCCATAATGATCTTTGGAAGACAATGAAGGAAAGAGAATTTATGCTTAGCTGTAGGTAAGATTAATGCTAGTCTCCTACAGGAATTCCACCGTGGAGTTTTTCCAGTAAAAGCATCTAGGCTTTTTTTCTTCCTCTTGAACCTGAAGACTCAGTCCCAGACTAAGTCGATTGCCAGGTCTTGCCTTCAACCCCAGCCTACCTACATCCCTGTTCCTCTCTTGGAAATCTTTTCCATATTTGTGTGCATGCCTGCGAATGCACACCAGTGCTCACAACACTCAATAATGTATGCTCCCTCGATAACACTAGATGCCCTATTCTTTTGCTTTCAAAACATTTCTAATTATGTATTTGCTATGTTGGTAAACTTTAATCTCCAATTATGGAGCTGTTAGTTTTGAGCCATGGTTATTAACCTGGCTTCATATTAGAATCAGCTGGAATATTAAAAAAACAAAGCAAAACAAAATAAACTAAATTTGCATGCTTGGGCCCTTTCCCCAGACACTCTGATTCAGTTGGTGCCAATGGAAACCCACCTATGAATGGTCTCTTGAGAGCTCCCCAGGTGTTTCTGATCTGTAGGCGGGGCTAAGGACCACTGCTTTACATATCCTTAGAAAATTACTTTGTGCCTAAAAGGGACTTTCTGTTGACCCAAGGAAGTGAGATAGGCAATTTCTAGACCCTTGGTTGTTTATGTCCCCTTTGGGGTCCCCCCAAACAGGATCCTGAATAGCAGTCTCTAATCTGACCCCAGATAGATAGTCAAAAAGGTGGTGATGGTAAAATGAAAGGCACCTAGTGTAAGAGAAACAATGGAGTTTTGGTTATAAAGTCCCCAGCTTTGTAATCTTGGGTACCCCACTGGTGAATGTGTCATAAGACATCCTGCCTTGTCCATCCCCAGTCTATCATCCCTTCTCTCCATCCCCCGCGCATACATGTCCTA